GTTCACGAAAATTATTATTTTCGTGAACTATTAGTACTTCAGTGTGTAAATTTTCTTTTCTCGTCTCCATACACATGGTCCTTCGCGAAAATTGTTTCAATTTTGCCAGATCTCGACGCTTCTGCTTCTGGTGTTGCCGAATGTTTTTCCCTTATTCCATAAGTGCTTCCATAAGTTCCCTTATTCCATAATTTGCACCATATAAGGAAATTTATAAAGATCTTTTAACTAGAAGCAAGCAATCTAAAATTACATACACTTTTTGCGAAAGGTAAAGCATGAATCTGAAAATAATGCAGAAAATGCTCAGAGGATAACGATAACTTACCAAAAATAAAACGCTCTCGGTTAATAGTGCTTTTAGTGATGACAAAGAAAACATTGTTTAATTTATATTAATATGTATCACTTAAGAAAATTTTAATAAAGATATTTATCTTAATTATGAAAATACTGTATACTAGCATGTGTTTTAATTTTTGGAACCTAACCCTCTTTTTCGTACTAGTTCTTTGTTTCGCATAACACGGATTCGCATAACACGGCAATTTTTTGGAACGTGACTACCGTGTTATACGGGGGTTACCTGTAATCAAAAAGCATAATGTTCAATTAAATGCCAATCAATTCTTAATTCTTATGTGCAAATTCACCAGAATAGTTCATTCTTAATAGTCAGTTTATTAAACATAAAAAATCTTTTATTTATTTGTCGAAACCGTATCTTCTTCTTCTTGTTTCTTCTAATTCTATGTCACGACTTGGTGCATTTATCGACACTTGGCAAATAGTTTCATCAGCCACTTTTAATTCATACAGAAACGCACTGAAGAGGGGCGAAAGCCCGAAACGCGTTTCTGTATGAATTAAAAGTGGCTGATGAAACTATTTGCCAAGTGTCGATAAATGCACCAAGTCATGACATAGAATTAGAAGAAACATAAAAAATCTTCCTTACAACCTTTTGGCTTCAATTCACAAAATATTGAAATATGGTTTGTGTGGTGTACTTGGTTACGGCAACGCGACACACGGGCGAGCTGCCGTGAGATGCTTCCCGAGAGATCTTTTAATTCCTTTCATCCCGTGGGCAATAAGGGAGCTATTTTTTGTATTATGGGTTACATTATGCATTGATATGAACAAACTCATTCGGCCAGGCCTACAATCTGGTGCCCGAAATATCTGGACGGATCATCCCCTGAAAAATTCCAGTGTTTTTCGACCCGTCCGGATTCGATTTCAAGTCTCCAAGAGAGATAAGCTGTCACATTAGCCACTCGATCATCCGGGCCATCATGAAATACAATAGCCTACTGTAGATCCCTATTAAATTTCATATTTTTATATGAATCAAGTCAAATAATATATTTTTAGTGGATATTTCGTTAAGAATTAGCATAATGTGGATAATACAGTCAAAAGATGCACTTTTCCATCACCGAATCTGATAGAATAGCTGAGAAACAGTAGATACTAGATTCTATTATCCACGAAAAATCAACAGGATACTGTATATAGAATATAGGTTATTACAAATCATTCACCTTAGCATTTTATTATAAAATATTTTTAAAAATAATTAAAATTTGAATAAACTGTTAATAAATGCAAGCTTAAATTATCAATTAAAATAAATTATTTTATTAAAATTCGATCGCATGTGATGATTCTCCATTCCCTCCTTGTTTTTTGTTTTTTTCATTATAGATCCGATAGATGGCATAATGTTTCAATGTTTCGATTATCGACGGGGTTAAGATATTCAATGACAGAATAACTTTTAAGATTATTTTTCGTATATTTTAGTAAGATAAAGTCGGAAAATAAAAATGGTTTATAATATTTAATCAATATTGAACAGATGTGTTTGGTGGTTGTTTATAATGCGAATGATGGTTCGTGGACTTATGCTTTGTATGGTGAGTTAGGCCTAAAATTCTTATTTTAATTATTATTATTGTAGTTGACATTAAAAAAAAAAAACTGTAAATAAATATTTCAAACATGATTTGCCATTAAAGTAAATTTGTAGTTAGCATACTGTCGAGAATTTCTTTTACTAATTGCTGCTGTCAACATCCAGAATTCCTCCTACTCCTATATTTTAATAACAAAGTTTTATTTGTCTGTTCTTTATGAAATTTTACATTATATTCACACTATTTGATAATTAATTTTAGAAAAATGCTTGGTTAGCAGGGACCTGAATGATTTGTTAAGAATTAAAATAAAGATAAATCGTGATAGCAATGGAAAACTTATCTTTTCTCATCTAAAAATGAATTTAAGTAAATGAACTGAACTGTGTAATGATCATTAAAAACACTGAAAAAGTACTTTAAAAATATTTACTTGGGGAAAAAAATATTTCTTATCTGCCAAATTTGTCCAATGTTAGTTTTTATTTTATTGATAAGATGTGAATTCTGAATGAGGGATTTGCCATCCTCAGAATTGTAGACCCCCCTATATGATCAAAAAAGCCAATGGAACCTTACCTATAAGTGCAACCCTTCATGATATGTTCTCCTCAAAGGTCAGTTTTTATTGTGAACCGGTACTACTGTATTGCCTATTCTCCATGTCCGCATTGGTCGAGGCAAGTGATAGCGAATGTTGACTGATGCTCTGCATGTAATCGTGTGCTTTGGTGAAAGAAATAGCGAGTACCTAAGCCCCCACATCCCTTAAAACTATATAACATCAAGTACTCCACAAACAGTCAAGTGAGCTACTCAAAGCTGGCATAGTCATGTGGGCTAAATAGTTAAATACAATAGTCTTAGTGGAGTGATATGACTGCCGATCATGTGCTCCTGGAAGTGGCTGATTTCGGGGCTGTATCTGGTGAAGAGTCACATATAGAGGTATGATTCCTTTGTCTTTTTTGCTCCTGTGGATATGGTCTACAGCTCTGGTAAGATCTTAACTGTCTCATTTAGAGGTATAATTGTACCATTTTATTATTATAAAGTGAGGAAATATATGATATAAAATAAATAGCAATCTTTTCTTAAATCTGATATAAAAATAACATCCTTATCTAATTAGGATGGGAAATTTAATGTTTAAAATATAGGAACTGCCCTACTTTCAGCACTGGAGTGAAATTAACGTTACACTATCTGGAACCTGTGACCAGTGCTCTACACGTATATATAGTATATTGCTTGACAAACATTTTCGAGCGATCTGTTCGCTCTTCCTCAGGTCGACTGAAAATTCCCCGATCGGAGTGTATATTATTCGTTTGGATCGGGTGTCGGTTCCGACTGGGTGGGCCGTTTCTGGCATGCGCAGTCATGTGGTGGGGGAGGAAACTGCGGGTTGGCGTCTAACAGCGATTGCCAGGCCAGAGACAGGGTTAGCTCTTCCTTCCGGTTAACGCAGGTGGCTAGCCGGCCGGCGTTGTAGATAGCCGCGGCCTCCAGCCACCTGAGATGCCGTTGGTGGGGCGTGTTGATGATGATAGTAACCTTCTCTAGTTGTGCCTCGATTTCGGGATCTGACGCATATGTGGCCAGGGCTGTGGTTAGCCTCCCGTGTTGGATATCCGCCTGCGTGAACATTAAGCGGATATCCGACACGGGAGTCTAACCACAGCCCTGGCCACATATTCGTCAGATCCCGAAATCGAGGCACAACTAGAGAAGGTTACTATCATCATCAACACGCCCCACCAACGGCATCTCAGGTGGCTGGAGGCCGCGGCTATCTACAACGCCGGCCGGCTAGCCACCTGCGTTAACCGGAAGGAAGAGCTAACCCTGTCTCTGGCCTGGCAATCGCTGTTAGACGCCAACCCGCAGTTTCCTCCCACACCACACGACTGCACATGCCAGAAACGGCCCACCCAGTCGGAACCGACACTCGATCCAAACGAATAATATACACTCCGACCGGGGAATTTTCAGTTGACCTGAGGAAGAGCGAACGGATCGCTCGAAAACGTTTGTCAAGCGATATACTATATATACGCGTAGAGCACTGGTCACAGGTTCCAGATAGTATAACGTTAATTTAATGTTTATCAATAATACTGTTTTAAAGAAAATTAGATCATAGATTTTACACTGTTTTGCAAATGTAAATAGAAAAGTTATATGGAAAGTAAAAGTATAAGAATTGGTAATTTAATAAGGAGAAATAAGTGAATACAGTACATGGAATGTTACATAGGAATTGGTTTGGACCAATTCAGTACAATTTCTAGCATTGTTTATCACTCTGTCATCAGAGTGGAAATTGGAGGATGTCACCAGCAGCTCTAGATTTGTTGATGTTCATCACAGAATAGTCTGACATACAGTATCTCCTGGATTATCCCAAAGTGAAGTCTTTGGAAATAAACTGAAATCATAGGGACTGATGTCTGTTGAGTATGGGTGTATATATTTTTTATCCTCATACACAGAACAAGTGTGTTGCAATGGCTGAAACATGACAAAGACTTTTGTTATGCAAAATGGTAAGCAGATTGTGTTGCAAGAAATGTACATAGTATTGTACATTGACAGTTCTACCAGAGAGCACTTTGTGTGTTAAGGTAACACTATTACAATCATATGCAGCAATGATCATTGATTTCACATTACTAGAGTTCTGTCACACTTTTACAGCCAATTGCAGAGACAGTGTATGTTAAATGACATTTAACAGCTGAACAGTGTCTAGACACTGGTTGTCTGAACCATGGTTTAAAATGTGTTGCAAAGACGACAATCATCTATTTCTGAATTCCGTCTAAATGAACTTTGGCAAAACATTGGCTATTACTTCACTGTTATCCCCCCTCTCAGGAGTCATTTAACCAATCAGGCCATTTGTTTATGATGTCAGAAAAATGGCAATAAACGTGTTCAAATCATGCTAGAATTCTTCTGAAGAAGAAAAAAGTGCCCTTGCAGAAATTATAAAAAATTATCTTGCAGTTGAGGAGAAAGGTCACAACAATCATATTCTGTGGATAAAAAAAAAACCGCTTGGGAGATGATACTGAACAAATTTTCTTCGTCGTTTCCTTGTTGGTGTGCTCGCAGCAAAACCTTATTCTTATTTGTTAAACAAGACCTGATTCTTATTATAAATGTTTCCATCACTATACAAAAATCTTTTAAAATTTATTTAATGGTAGTTTGATAGGTACCTGCATAAAATAGAGAAGTGAATCCCGATAAGACCATCAGCTACCCTCTGGAAGCTTTGGTGGCATAAAATCATAATGCCATCAACTGTTGTTCAGTAGTTAATGTCAATCCTCTTCCATCTAGATCAGTAGTTCTCAATTAGTTTTTCCTGCATACCACCTCAAGAAAGAGCTCAAACTTGTGTACCCCTTATATCAGAAATTCATATTAATCCATGCTAATATTATAAATTCGAAGGTAATTCTGTCTGTCTGTTACATTTTCACGTCTAAACCACTAAACAGGTTTTAATAAAATTTGGCACAGAGATAGCCTACATGTTAGACATGGAATCATTTTACTGCAAGAAAATATCTTACTCCCACAAGAAAATTCGATATAATGTGGGCGAAGCTGTGGGTAGACAGCAAGTGATAAATAGAATAAGTTTTTTTACATTTATTACCTTTAAAATACAATTCTAATAATAATGAAAATAACATATGGTTATTTAATTTTAATGTGACAAATGTGCACAATTTTCTTTGCACAACTTTGTAAAATCTGGTTGCATTTTGGTCAGCTTCAGTCTCAAGTCATCTTCAAGTTGAAGTCGGTGACGATGTTTAGTTTTCATGTTTGTCATGGCTGAAAATTCGCTCTCGCAGAGGTATGTTGTGCAAAATGGCAGTAAATATTTTATTGCCGCTTCGCTGACATGATGATAATGATAATTGTACAATTAACACAAATTGTGTTAATTGTACAATTTTTGTTTCTTGCGTAAGAATTTCATTTAGGTATTGTCACAAATGCATTTTTTTGATGAAATTTCGAGAATATTTTTAGTTATAAATAAACGAATTTGTGCATTTGACATCATGTTGTAAATTGCCGAATTTTTGATGGTCCACCCATTATTTTTTTGATTGCTTCATCTCATGCATTTAAATTTTAAATCGACCGATTTTAGATTGCTGCGCATACCCCTTCATGCAATTTTGCGTATCCCCAGATTTATGCTTACCATTAATTGGGAACCATGGATTTAGCCAACAGGTAGGGGATGACTCTTTACTGAATATTCAACATTATGTTCTCACCCTTCATTTCTGAAGTGTAACTGTGTTTTCAGTACTAAATTACCAAGTCTTGGTTGAATTTCTTCAAGCAAACACTTTGAATGGTTCAAAAATTTAATGCTATGATATTTTTTTTTTCAAAAGAACTCGTATTCTACCAGATTTAAGTTAGTTGTGAATAGGTAAATGATTTATTATTTATACAGTAGAGTGTTGATTATCCAAATCAATTGGGGACTGGGGTTGTTTGGAAAATCGATATTTTGGATAACCGATTATGTACGAAAAAATATATTAATTTATCCCATGTTGAAATTTTTCTCCATTGCGTGTCACTTTGCGTTGAATTTTCGTCGAAGTTAAGCCTAACGAAGACTATTGTATCATTAAAAATTATTTTTTATTTTGTACAAACAAAATAAATATATTGAAAAATATAAAAACAATAAAAATTATACTTCAGAAGTTAATTTAGTATCAAAAACGTAAAATATTTGAGTAGGCCAAGACATAGCCAAAGATTGCAGCGCCACAGCACTGGCGAAAATTTAAATTTGCTGACTGAAATCCTTTTGGATAATTGACATTTCAGATAATTGACTTTCGGATAATCCACGCTCTACTGTAATTGGTTTGATTGATAGAAATTGGCAACAGTGCAAAACATTGCAATTAAATCTTTGTAAGAGAGTTATATGATACAGTAGAACC